CAGCACTGGTCCAAAGCTCATCAGCCTCCAGCTTCCAGCCTGCATGCTCCCTCCTGGCCCTGCTACATCACAGCCTGTCCAACGGGGCTCTCCAGCTCCCCTGCCCTTTTCCACGGCCTCCCAGCCCTGGCAGGACACCTGGAGTCCACCTGGGCTAGCTGAGAGGCCTCCAGCACGCTGCCCTCAGCCTGTCATGGCTGGCTTGAACAAGAAACTGCAGTTTCCAAACTGAAGTCAAAGGGCGAGTGAAGAAGAGGTTGGGAAGAGTCAGAGATCAGGGCTAGCAGGGACTGGCAGCTCAAGGTGCTTTCCAAGAAAGGCTTCTGAGCTGGCAGTACCCAGACTTAAACCTGCCTGTTTGCAGTTACAGGACAAGGCTCCACTCCTATTTCCCAGCTCACTCTCAACCTGAGAATGAGCTCAGTCCTTTCCTTCTCTGCCCAAACCTCCATTCCTGATCCTGGGAGAGGTACAAACAAGAAGAAACACCTTCCCATGACTGCCAGGCACTCAGACCCTTCCCCCTGAGCACTTCAAGGAGGCTGGCTGCCTGAGCTCAGCCCTGGGTGCAAGGCTGGAGGCTGTGCAAGGAACCACAGCAAAGAGAAATGGCTTGTGCTGCTTGGGACCACAACCTGCACAACTCCTGCCTCTGCCAGGGGAAAGCCGTGCACGGGACACGCAGGAAGGCAAAGTCACAAAAAGGACAGGGCCAGGCAAAAATAGAATAACCTACTTGAAAGTAGGACAGCATCACTGAAGAGTAGGACATCTGGTCACTGCAGCAGGAGGAGCAAATGCAGAGCAGGCAGCTCGGCCATGCACACGTCTCCTGACGGAGACAGCCCAGGGCAGATGTGTGGTGTGCCCAGGCAAACAGCTGGGATGTGCAGTCCCCAAGCAAAGCAGAGCAGCTCTCAGTGTCTCTGAGATGACTTCTAGGCTTGCTGCTGCCAGTCAGTCTTGCCTGTCCTACCCAGAGCAGTATCCCAGCCCCAGGGGCCTGGGGGATGTGTGCCCAAACCAGCAGCTGATCCCTTCTACCTGATTTGCTAAACACAGGGTTTTGAAAGAAATTATCACAAAAAAAAAAACCAAACAGAAGGAGATTCCCCATGTGCCAGACCACTGACATGCCAAAACATGTTTAATGCTCCCTGCTCCAAGGCCATCCCTCCCCTGGCTCCAGCCCACCCACCTCTGCTGGACTCCTTGGCCCCCAGCCCCTTCCCCAGCCAGGCTGACAACTCCCTAGCAGAGCACAGCTCAGAAAGGACATGGTTTAGAAATATTTGGGTTCATCACTGAGCTTGTATTCACACCTTCACAAGCTCCAGAGCATCAGGCTGCAGCTAGGCCAGGCAGGATGGGTGTTTTGGAAGGAAAGAAGAAAGTGAGCACTGCAGATAGTGAGCTCATCAGAGGAGCCTCAGTGCTCCTTGCAGAGAGGAGTTAACACCACGCTGCTGCTCCTGGGCCAATTTCCTACCCAGCCTTGGCAGGACAGGCAGTTTTCTTGGCTTAGGACCCTGTGCTGGAACGGAAACTCAGAGCATCAGGTCTCAGGACACCATTCAAAGCCCTGCTCCTTGTTCCTGCTCTCAAAGGAGGCAGTAGGAAACCATCCAGGTCCCTTTCCAGAAAGCTTCAAACCTCTCCCCTCCAGAGGAAGGTCTCTCTGCCAGGTGTGGTAAACTCAGACCTGCCAAAAGCAGTGGGAGGCATCCTTGAGGTGAGGAGTGACCCACAGCATTCCCCTCAGTTCAGGTGAGTGTTTCTGGACTAACCTGACGGCTGAGCCCACCCTGAGAAAATCAGAGAGATCATTTTGCCAGTATGTCCATGTCAGATCCCTTTAATCTGTCACAATGACTTTTTGCCTGCCCCGGACAGAGTTGAGGAGCTCAGCCCATGTACAGAACAAAAAACACCCTGTACAGGTGTTAAAACCCCCCTGTACAGCACTCAAAAATTCTTCTCTCTACTTTGTGACTACTTTTACTATAATATTTAAACTTTTGTGACTTCTTGTTCTACCTGCAAGGTTGGTAAATCATTCCATGATTCAAATCCAAAATCACAGCTGTTTCCAGCTGCCTGCCAGGGTCTCAAATGCTTCTGACCAGGGCCTGGAACCTCCAAAAATGTCTGAGGGACATTTTGAGTTCCAACAATGGTCCTTCTCCAGGAAGAGCAGTGTGGGACAGGGAGTGCTGGTGCTGGATGAAGGCCAGGGGTGACAGAAAATGCAGGGACAAACACAGCAGAGACCACAACCTCCAGCCCAGGGCTGCCTGGGTGCCCTTGGTGGGGTCAGGGATGGGGATGGGATGATGCCTTTGGGCTCCCAGCAGTGAAATTCAGTTTTTCAGCAGCAGGGTGCAGGCACAGCTGGCTCTGAGCTCTCTGCAGGGGCACAGCCTGGCTGTTCACAGCCATTCACCACCCCAGCACCACCACCACCTCCCTCACACTTCATCCAGTGACCATTTTCCTGCCACACTGCTGCCAACTGCTGCCAGGAAGAAAGAACCAAAAGTGCTCACTGTGGGACAATGATTTTTTAACTCAGATTGTCTTTTTCAACTCAAATTGTCTTTCATCCCATGCAAAGGCATTTTGACTGAGGAATCACCCCAAACCCACAGAGAAGAACTCAATTCTGGTGTGACCAACCAGGAACCTGAGCTCAGACAAACCCTTGCAGCAAACTCTCTGTCAGGCCTCAAATCCTCCAAAACCCCTGCACCAAGTCCTTCCCTGAACAGCCTGGGAAGAATTGCAGCTTTGAGATAACATGAGACCACTTGAGCACAAACTTAATCCCGCAGTACTCCATCCTGGAAGCTCTCATGGAGGAACAGCCGCCTTCCAGCTCAGCTCTGTCACTTCTCCCAGCACCACTTATAAGAGGATGGTGTTCTGTCCTAGTTTAGGGCAAATTTTTGAAAAAACCTCTGGAAGGAGCCCCCAGAAAGCAAACCCCCATGGCCCCTCCCCACCCACCTGGTTCGGGAAAAATTTTCTCTGACAGAAGTGGAAAAGCACCTGTTTATTTAAAAAACAAAGTACTCCCCAGCACCAAAACTGGCTGATAACAAGGCAAAACAAACCTTCACTTTCAGAGTCAGTTCTGATAGCACAGAACAGAATATCAAACATAAACAGAACACACGATTTGGGATACCAGCATCACAACGTCACACCATGACATGTTCCCACTGGTGGTCGCTCTGGGTTTGCAGAGAGGTGGGCATGCAGCGCCTTGAGCAGCTTGTCCTGCACCCTGCTGCTGATCCAGGGGATGGCACGGCCCCAGAAGCACCCCCATCCATCCTGCTCGGGGTAACACAACTCGGGGGGCACCCCATCCCTCCTGCCCGGGGTAACACAGCCCCAGGAGCACCCCCATCCCTCTTTTCCGGGGGTAACACATGGTACACGGGGTACTCTAAAAGCTCACCACTTCCTTTCTTTTTTAAATTTAATTTTTATGGTTAACTGGAACCAATGTAGTTCACATCAGTTGAAAGCTACCATTTACATTTCTGCTTTTCCAGAAAGAAATACACTTTGCCAGTGACTTGCACTAAAAATTTCAATCTAGGAATGAATCCCTGGACAGCACTTTCCTCCTGGCTCTGCGGGGAGGACTTGGGATGCAGGAGCACCCCCATCCCTCCAGCACGGGGATAACGCAGCCCGGGGACACCCCAATCCCTCCAGAACGAGGGATACCACAGCCGAGGGACACCCCCATCCCTCCGGCAGCGGGATAACACAATTCATGGGGCACCGCCATCCATCGAGCACGAGGATAACACAATCCAGGGGCACCTCTATGCCTCCGGCATGAGGATAACCCGCCTTGGAGGCACCTCAGCCCCTCCAGCACGGGGGATAACGCAACCCCAGGAGCATCCCCATCCCTCCGGCATGAGGGACAGCGCAGCCCGGGTATCTCCCCCATCTCTCCGCCAGCGGTGTGCTGTAACCCCGGCAGCACCTCCATCCATCCATTCCCCAGAGCTGAAGCGCCCTCCCGACCCCGCGGCTGTCCCGAGGCCGGGATGCTGCTCCGGAGGGATGGAGGGAGAGGCTCATTCACTCACCCCGGGGCTCCTCGGCGTGGCCGCCCGGGGCGGGCGCGGGGCGCGGCCATGGAGCGGCTCGGGAGCGGCCCGGGAGAGGTTCGGGAGAGACCCGGGAGAGGTTCGGGAGCGGCTCGGGAGCGGCTCGGGAGCGGCTCGGGAGAGGCTCGGGAGAGGCTCGGGAGCGGCTCGGGAGCGGCTCGGGAGCGGCTCGGGAGAGGCTCGGGAGGGGCTCGGGAGGGCCCGGGAGAGGCTCGGGAGAGGTTCGGGGAGGGCTGGGGAGGGCTCGGGAGCGGCCCGGGAGGGCTCGGGAGAGGCTCGGGAGCGGCTCGGGAGGGCCCGGGAGAGACCCGGGAGAGGTTCGGGAGCGGCGCCCGCCGCCTGCAGCGCTCGCCGCGCCCGCCGGGGGGCGCCAGAGGGCGCGGCCGGGCCCCTGCTGCCCCCTGGCGGCCGGGCCGCGCACGGCGGGGGCGCTCCCCGGCCCCGCGGCGCCTTCGGGGCGCTCGGAGCGCCTGGAGGGGCCGGAACGGGGAACGGGCTGGAACGGGACGGGAACGGGGCTGGAGCGGGGCGGGAACGGGCCGGGAACCGGGCGGGAACGGGGCTGGAGCGGGGCTGGAACGGGGCTGGAGCGGGACGGGAACGGTGCGGGAACGGAGCGGGAACGGGCCGGGAACGGGGCGGGAACGGGGCGGGAACGGGGCGGGAACGGGGCTGGAACGGGGCTGGAGCGGTGCGGGAACGGGGCTGGAGCGGGACGGGAACGGGGCTGGAACGGGGCTGGAGCGGGACGGGAACGGGGCTGGAGCGGTGCGGGAACGGGGCTGGAGCGGTGCGGGAACGGGGCTGGAGCGGGGCGGGAACGGGGCTGGAGCGGGGCGGGAACGGGGCTGGAGCGGGACGGGAACGGTGATGGAGCGGGGCGGGAACGGGGCTGGAGCGGTGCGGGAACCGGGCTGGAGGGGTGCAGGAACGCTACAGGAGTGGTGCGGGAACGCTATAGGAACGGTGCGTGAACGCTATAGGAGCGGAGATGGAGCGTTATAGGAGCGGGGTGGGAACGGGGCTGGAGCGGGGCGGGAATGGTGCTGGAGCGGTGCAGGAGTGCTGCAGGAGCGGGGCTAGAACACCATAGGAGCGGTGCAGGAACACTATAGCAGCGGTGCTGGAGCAGTGCAGGAACGCTGCAGGAACGCTGCAGGAGCGGTGCAGGAATGCTATAGGAGCAGTGCAGTAGTGCTGGAGTGGTGCTGGAGCGGAGCTGGAGAAATGCAGGAGCGGTGCAGGAGCAGCGCAGGAGCAGTGCTGGAGCGCTGCAGGAGCGCTGCAGGAGCGGTGAAGGAGCAGTGCAGGAGCACAGGGGGGCAGTGGGAGTAGAGCAGGTCGCTGGTGCTGGAGGGGCTCTGGGCAGCTCTGTGATGGGCCGCAGAGCAGGGCTGGAGCAGCAGGCTGAGATGATTCAGGACAGTGCTCACAGGCATTCCCAGGGCCGGAGGAGAAGGAGGTGGTGTGTGCAGGGGAGCTGCATTCCCTGCAGGCAGCAGCTTCCCTCTGCCCTGTGCACGAAGCCTCCATGGGCCAATGGACCAGACGCGCGCTCAGCATCTTCCCTGGCGTTGCTATGAGACGGGATCCCACGGGATGCTGCAGTGCCAGCGCGGACCCCGGCACAGCTCATCGGCAGGAGAACCTCTGGATGAGGGCAGGATGATGGGGGACACGGCACAAAAGGCTGAGGCAAAGCACCGTGAGAGAGAAAGCCCCACACCTCTCAGGGAAACCTCAAAAGGGTCAGGGCCAACAGGAGGGAGAGCTGAGCATCAGCAGGACGGTGCAATCTGGAGAGAGGTCTCCAGAGGGTTTCAGGTCAGGAGATCACTCTGCAGTGAGGTATTTCTGTTCGCAGCCCATTCCCCTTCCTGGGGCCGCAGAGGCTCTTTGGCAGCAGCAGACACGTGCAGCACGGGAGGCTGAGGGGGCACCTGGCAGAGGAGAGGGCAGGGGGGCACTGAGAGCAAGGATGGGTACACTGGGAGCTGGGCAGTGTGTTGGGGCATTTCCGTTGGGTTGAGAAATGCTCACTCGGCCTCTTTTGTCTCCTCTCTTTTGATATAGCAAGAAATTCATGGGGGTCTGAAAGCCAGGGGAAAAAACAGTCAGACTTGATATAGGAGACAAATTTCAGGATATTTCCTCGGTGCAAGTTAGGTGGAAAACTGTGCCAGAGCCTGGACTGGGGCAGTGGGGTGTCCCTGTCTGACACAGGCTGTGATTTTGCAGAGTAGCTGCCCCTCAGTCGGCTTTTCTCCACCTCTGGGCAAGTCCTCTTAATGTTTTTCACAGTAACTCACACAAGCTAAAACCCTTCTTTGCTTTTTAGGTGACCACCCTTCCTATCATGCTGTTTAGGATTTTAAAAACATCACATATTGTGATGCTGGCGGCACAAAGGAGGCCCCAGCAGAGAGCAGAAGGAAGCACAAACAAGACAGACTGACCGTGCTGCTCTGCATCCTTTGGCATTCCCTGCCTGAGCACCTTTGGTGCAGGTGCAAACATCAAGTTTAAAGTCCTGGGCTGCACTGACAAAGCAAATTAGGAGGTGGCTGCTCCAAGCAGGCAGCTCAGCAGGGTCTCCCAGGCCTTTATATCCCTGCTGGGTTCCCCAAGCAGTCCTTGGTGATGTTACAGGTTGGGGGACAGTGGGTGCCACAGTCTGGGCTGGTTTCAGCCTGGAGCTGGGCAGGACTGTGGTGGTAGCTGGTGGATGGATGGACCCCTGTCTCACCAAAACACGGGAGTCCTTCCATAGTTTGTTGACCCTTCACCCCAAATTCTGGTATTTTTGATGTGATATTATTGGTAATTTAAAACTATGGACTCCTTTAACATCAATCTGGTGTCCTGGTAGATGACAAAACCTTGTTTTGTTTGTAATACTTCCCAGCTGGCACCTCCTCCCCCCATCATTACCCTTCTGTGCCCTCACCCACAAGGGCCATGTTCTCCTTTCTCTGTGAGCTCCTCTCTCTGCTGCCCAGGGCAGTGTTCAGCATTTGGCAGGGCAGAGCTTCTGGACACACAGGCTCTTTGTCCAGGGAAGTGCATCACCTTGAACTGAGGCCCAGCTGGGTTAACACTTAGGTTCCAAAGGTGCTTCCAATCAGGGGGATCATCTGAGAGCCAGAAGGCTCCTGCTGGCAAAATGAAGCTGCTAGATCAGCAGAGGAGCAGCTCCTGCCTTCCCTGGCTCGATGGGAAGCTGTAAATAAAGCCTTCCAGCTCGCTGCCTTCAGCCACCCCTGCCACCCAGTGGCCTGAGAGTGGCACTTTCTGGGCTGACACTCCGGTAAGGGGGCCTGGCTTTCCCAGGATCCAAACTCAGCTTCCCCAGGGGCTGTGCTAGAGCTGGGAGGTGCTGTTTGAAGGCAGCTCTTCCCTTCACAGCGCCGCTGCAAATTCCTGGCACTGGTGTGGTGAGCAGACCTGAGCCACCCACTGGGCACAACTCTGGCCCCTGGTGTGCTCCAGGCTGCCCAGCCCTGGCTGATGTTCTCAGTGCCACCTTCCCCACAGCTCCCACCCCCTCCCTGCCTGGAGGATGGCATCCAGAGGGGCAGAGTGAAGGGCAGGTGTTGGTGGGGAAGGCACTTACCAAAATCCACAGATCACAGGCAGCCCCAGCAGCACCCTGCGTGCTCCATTCCTGCTGGAATTGGGCACTAACACATCCAAAGTGCTGATGGTCTGCCTGTGTCTGGATAAACACCCCTGAACGCCAGCCAGAGGAGCAAGGAGATGCTGCTCTGGCTGGGCAGGTAGGATGCTCCATCCCCCAAACCTGCTGCACAACAATCACACCCTGCTGTCCCCATCATCCCCAGGCATCCCAGCTCTGCCCACTTGGAGAATGGTGCTTCAAATCTCCCCAGAAAGTGGCTTCCTTCTGCCCAGAAACGCTCTGAGCTGCACTTTGAGGGCTCCCAGTCCCTGCCAGAGACATCCCTGCTCTCGGGCTGCCTCCCTCACTGCCGTGACTCTCAGTGCATGGCAAGCGGGGCCATTTGCCAATGTTTGTGTCTCGACAAACAGTCTGTCAGCATTTCGGTGTGTGGCTTCAGCTGGGATCAGCTCTGCCTTCTCTCCCCATTAAATGGCAGAGCTGTGTGCAAACACCCTGGCATCAAACCATCTGGGGCACGCTCGGGGCCAACTGCAGAGCTCCCGGTGCCATGTGTCACACACCCCCTGCACCACGGCCAAGGACAACGGCGGGATTGGCATCCCGGTGCCATGGCTGGCACAGCAAGCCACCCCTGCCCTGCCCACGGGGCTCTCCTCTCCCACCAGGCTCACAGGGCAGCAGAGAGCAGCCCTGAACGAAACAGGCTATGGAGGAGCAGCAGAGAGGAGAGAGGCACAGAACCATGGAATATGCTGAGCTGGAAGGGCCCACAAGCATCACCAAGCTCAGCTGCTGGCCCTGCACAAGGATTGTTGAGTCCAGCTCTTGGTCCTGCACAGGAGAGCCCCAAGCTGTTGGTGGAAGAAACTTCTCCTTGCTGATAGTGCATGAATCCTCCCACTCCCGTGACAAGCTTCCCTGGCCTTCACTCCTGGAGCTGCTGGGCATTCCCTCCCTCCCTGGCTCACTGGGAAGCTGTGGCCTGGGAGGTGAGAGCAGGACAGACTGCATGCTAAGGTGGCACCCTGGTATGGCCCAGCCTTGCTTGCACAGATGCTGTTTGAGCCCCTTGGTAAGGCCATGGAAATATGGCTAGGTTCTGCCCAGGCTGAAAGGTTCTGGAATTGGTTTCTGGCCCACAAACCTGGGATTCAGGTGCCTTTACCTTCAGCTTGACTGTCTGTCCTCCAGCCTCAGCAGCCTGCACCAAGAGCAGATTTTGGTTTCTGCCCAGGTTAACAACCTGCCTTGGACTGGCTGTTGCAGGAGAAAAGCAAACTGGAAGAGGAGGTGTGTGAGATGTGGTACATCCTGCCTGTCGTGGCTGGAGGACACAGCAGTGCCTTGCAGCAGCCAGGGGTCTTCCGAGCCAGCCCAGTGTTCCCACAGTGCAGCCGTGCTCCCCAGGGCTGCCTTTGTCCCCAGGAAGCTGTTGGTGTGTTCCCCTGCCTTTCCTCCACCATTAGTTCCTCATTGCTGCTCCGTGAAGACCTTGAATGGTTCCTTGGAGAAGATTTCCACATTCCTGCTGGACACTGGTGAGATGTGGGCTCCCCCAGGTCCGGGTTCCCCTCAGCACCTGCACAGTGAAGGCCTTGTCGCTCTCACTTGGCTCCAAATCAGGATTCCAGCTAAGGCCAGTAGTAGAGGTGGTGATTTATTTTACATACCTGAACTTCCTCTTTCTTGGAGAACTCTGGGTCACCGTGGAGTGCAGCAACTCAAAGCTGCAAGGACAGGTGACACTCAAAGTGTCACTGGTGGAAGAAGGCACCCACCCCCTTGCTGAACAGTCCAGGGGCTCAGGGTTTGTGCTCTGGGGCACAATCCCAATCCTGAGGTTCCATTTTGGTGGCATTCCTGGTGATGTGTTCATTTATTATGTTCAAGTGCTATTTCCTTCCAAAACAACACACTGATGTTTCCTGAGGCTACAGGGACGGAGCAATCAGCATTCCCACCAAGAGAGGCCATCTAGAGCTGCAGATGACAAACATATAATTGATCTAAGATCAGCTTACAGCGATCATTTCCCAATTCTGCTGCTGACAGAAACGTGTGTCGCACCTATGATTATCATTAAACTGCAGCAAAAAACCCCACTGTGGGAGCAAGATTAAAAACTGGGCCAGAGCAAACACAGAGCACCCATAACCATTGATTACCCCATCACAGAGCCTGATCCTCTGGCCATGCCTCCCCCAGCCCTGAGCAGGGAGTGCAGAGCTGGGAAATCAGTGCCCAACTCCAAAGGCAGCTCCTCCCAAAATTGCACAGCCTGCCCCTGTTATCTGCTGCTCTTCTGGAGACTGAGAACTTCCACAAACATCCAGCTCCTGGGGCTGGCCAGGAACAGCAGGCAGCCACCAGATGATGCCCAGCACACGCTGGATCCTCACTGTGGATGCTCAGAGGTCGGCTCTGGGATTGGGATGTGCAGGGCAGAACTGCCTGTCCCCCAGCGTGGGCTGGCTGGGACACGCCACAGGTGACATCCAGGTGCCCCCTGTGGTAGTGCCCACCTGGGAATGGGCTGAAATGGGTCTCAGCAAGGTGTGAGGGCAGCTTGTTCCTGCTCAAATGTTCATCAAGACGAGTTTGGTCACAGCCATGCTCAGGGGAATCATCACAGGGGTGGGATGTGCTCCTGAGGGAGATGCAGGCAGTCAGGCTTTTCTACCTTTGCACAGGGAAGGAGGGGTAGGAATAGGGTCAGAAGTGGGTGGGTAGGAGGAGCAGGGGAGCTGGAAGAGGATAAATCAGTTTGGGATTAGAAGGTGGCACTGGCAGCCTGCCATGTGACAGCCAGGAGCCCAGCTGTCAGCCTGGTGGCAGCAATTAAATGAGATATCGATTGAGGAATTGTTGTCTGCAGGGTTTAAAGATAAGATCGATGGAGACCAAAAGGTTTAGGCTCCGTTTACTAATTAGTCAGGCACGCTTGGGAGAGAAGCCTTTGGAGACAGGGAGAGCTGAGCTGTGCACGGGCAGCACTGGCAATGTGCTGGGTGCCCCTCCCTGGCACCACATCCTCACCACTCCTCATCCTCCAGTGCCAGGGGGTGAATGGGCAGCGGCTGCCAGTGCCAGGGATTTAAATCAGCTGCGTGGGAGCAGTGGGCAGGCTCGGGATTCTGTCTGCCCTGAGATGGTGAGCTGCTTTCCTCCCCAGGCAGGCATGTGGGAAAGAGGGGCTGGGCATGTTCTTGGTCGTGGGGAGGAGTAAAGCAAGAGGGGAGCTGCTCCTTTTGCATTGCAAATTGTCTGGGGGTGAATTGATCCTTTTCTTAGGCTCTGGCATCAGCTGCAGCCTGAACACATTTCTCTTCCCCCTGCTCCTTGTGCAGCAAGTCCAGGGACAGAAAGGAGACAAATGTGGCACAGACTTGTGGCTTCTGTGCTGATTCCTGTGCTCCACAGAGCCAGGCTGGGGGAGAGCAGGGCAGTGGCTTGGTGCCCTCTGTGCTTTGTCCCCTCGCTTCCAGAAGATGCCCAGGACATGGTCAGACGGGGACAGGCAGGAAACGGGCTCGCCGGGATGTGGTTTGGGCGGCCTCTGAGAGCATCTCCTTGCTCGTTCATGTGGGAGAGGGGGACTGTGGCTTCAAAACAGAGTTGCCTTTAAACCAGCCGGGGAGCTGGGCTCGCCCGTGGATGTCTCAGTGTCAGCTGGGCCTTGGGAACAGGCATCGAACAGGCAGAATTCTGCGTCCTCCCCCTTCCTGGGGCTGCCGCAGAATTCCTCCTTTCATCTCAGCTTACCAGGAACATTCCAGCCGGCAAACACAGGAGGGTCAGGAGTTGTCCCGATGGGTCCTGTGACCCACAGCCGGCCTGGGGGCACGGCCACCACAGTCATGGGCCACCCACGGGACCGCTGCCGTGACCCCGCACAGGGCGCTGAGCTGGGAGAGCATCCCCGGGGCACAGCACGGAGTGCTGCTGCTCCTGCTGCTCCTGCTGCTCCTGCTGCTCCTGCAGCAAGCCTTCTCCTCCAGCCTGGCCTGGCACTGCCCTGCAGCCCGGCCTGGCACTGCCCTGCAGCCTGGCCTGGCCATAAAACTCAGCAGCGGGATGGGAGCGAGCCTGGCAGCAGAGCCCGAGTCTCCCGGAGCTGGCGGGATGAAGGGCAGGGATGGAAAACAGAGATCAAGGCCACCGTGACGCCATGTGGCTGGTGCAGGGTGTCTCGTGTTTTCGCAGCAGGGCT